TGACACTAATTAAAACATACTAAACTATATTTTCAAATCAGCTGGTGTTATTAGATTTGGCAACACCACTTTGTCCTTATTGGCTCTTTCGAAGCCACGTGGTAAAAAGGCTCCTCCCTCAACTGCAGACTCTCGTGAATCGTACTGTAGCCAGTTATATAATTATACCAGCAAAATAAGTGACGAAATAATGTACAAAACTATCCAATGGAGAAAAACAAAATTTGAATATATGTGAAATGAATAGTATTGATAAATAAAACGTACAAAAAACGTATGACGCAAGCTTTTTTTTTTTACCTTAATGTAAAACAAAAATTTGAACCCATGATTAAACCAATGTTAAATCAGTAGAATGTTCTTACAGTTTTGACTGAAATGAAAGCATTACAAAATTGTATTTATTGAAATAAAATGATTATTAAGTTAACGGTTTTAAGTCACTTAACAACATATTGTAAAGTAAATTTATCTAACAAACATTTGTTTTGATTAGGATTTAGTGCAGGATTACTTTGCCCAGTGAGGCTTCCGTGGTCGTAGAGCTTGTACTAATGTCCAGCTTAGCAAATATTTATTGCACTGTCGCCAGTGCGTAGGGATATAAAGGAAAACTCTTTCTAACGTGGCAAATTTAATTAATTAGTTGTATTATTATTTTTGTCCAAGCCTTGACCATGGCCTTGACTTAAAAATCATATCGAAAACTTGGAAGTTTAATAGATTTAGAGTTGTTGATTTTTTATTTGGGTACCAATGTTTGAAGAAAATAGATTATTGCTACTAATTATTCATTACAGAATATTTGGGTCCAGTTTTCCAGTTTGGTGGCTTCTAGAAAAGTTTCACAAGCGAAGAAACATTTTATGGAATCTTTTAATAATCGTAACGTGGATTTTTTTGAAGTCGATTATAATATTTATTTAGCTTTAAATATATATTTCTTCATAAAAAATTAAAATATCACAGAGGGTATTAACAACAGCTAACCTCTAAAAAAGATTTTCATCCAATTGTCAATGATTAGTATGATTTCAAATACGAGTATATATAAAAAAATGTGATAGTTCTCTGGTGTTGTAACATAATCATGAACTTTAAAAATCAAAAGACAAATATAAAAATGTATTAATTTTGTTTTGTAAGATATTTTTCTACCGTCTATTTCAGAAGATTTGAGCAAATGGCAATCGCAGACGAGAAGGTGTATCCAATAAGAATCCGGTGTCACTTTATACATGATATACCTCCATAATAAAGAATGGTTTCATGTTACATATGATCTATTTTAGCACATGTGACAAACAATTGTAATGCAGCGTATTTAGTATTAGGGTTTATTCATGAACCTTTGAAACAAATTTCATTTTCATGTCATGACATTCTTGGTATCAATTAATTCCCTCCAAACCTTCTTGTTTTAATATCTTTCCTCTTTGGTACGTTCAACTTATCTTCAAATATGTTAATTGCACGCTTTTTAAAGGGTTTTAAATATTTGTTCTATTATGTTTAAAATGTTCAACTATTTTTTTTTTTAACAGTACAATTCTTCTTTTATGACGTTTAATAATCACAGTTGCAAGTATTAATTGTATTTTGATAATTTATGATTGTTAAATTTTGGTACGCATTTCTTCCGTTTAGATTATATATATTGTTGAAAGAGCGTCACAATACAAGTCAGATTTTTAATAATGTGTATTTTATTAGCTTTTTATGTAGCTTTTACGTATTTTTATTTGCTAAAGTCTTGCTGTCCTCGATCTATTTTAAGAACTGTTTATTTTGCTTTGGTGGATTCCAACCTGCAATATGGCATATCATGATAGGGAGTTATTTACCATTCCAGTATTATTCCTTTGATTGTAGCCCAAAAATATAGTAAGGTTGATTATGGGTGTAGATAGCCTAGAACATTGTTTTCCCTTTTATAAAATCTCTAAAAATCTTTCCACTAAGATACCTCTTTGTTTTCAGAGTACTAAGAATATATTTTATTAGATCTGGCCACGTTTTAGGAAATCAACAGGTTTATTCTGATAGACTAAGATCTAAAAATTTTTTTGTTACGCCACACCCTTATAATGAGTTTTTTAGACGCTTTTAGTTTTCTAGCTCCTAAGTTAGTTAACTTTTTTCCAAAGGATATTTGTTCTAGTTTTATTCAAGTACTAGTTCTAAAATATTTGTAAATAGGTTAAAGAAGTGGCTTTTTACTTTTCCTGGAGTTGAAACATAATTGTCCTAGTTGTTGCAAATGGAAGTACCGGTACACATGTTTTGATTTTTTCTGTACTGCATTTTATTGTTATTATCTATTTAATGTTTGATATGAATCTGTGGAAAAACGTTTATTTCATAGTTTTAAATTGTTTTGATACAAATTTGCCATTATATATGTTTAATCTTTATAATAGCATAATGTATTATTTGTTTTTGTTCTCCAGTACTTCTTTTAGATTGTAATGGTTCCTCAACACGAGAAAATGAGGAACCTAGCTATTCATTCTCAATTTGTATTGGTTATAACTATGTCTTGTATCCTATGTAATGTATATTAATTGCCAATTGTTATTTTGTTGTATTGTTGAATGAATAAAGATATTTTGAATTGAATTGAATTGAATTATGTTTAGTATTTTTTTTATATCTATTTTTGAATGCATATTACAAGCATATTATTGCATATTATTATTCTAAGCTGTTAGACACAGTTTAAAACACAAATAATTCACTGCAAAGCAAACTCAAGTATGGTAAATATATTTTTGAAATATTTAATATTAGAAAAACGAACTATGGGAATGACACAACGTTATTTTACTGAAAAGAGGAAACAAGGTTAAATAAACTCAATAACATACAATTCCGCATATGTTTCCCTGTCAAACGGTGTTCTTTCTTTGTGCATTATTTATTTTCAATTTTGTGAGTTTAACACAATTCCGGGGATAAGAATACATTTGAGATTACATTATTTTGGAAATATTATTAAAACCAATATTTTACCAAAAAAATACAGCTGGTAAGAAAAATTGATTAGGAATAATTAATTCAGTATTACTCTTGCTTTGAAATATTAATTGGATTTCCTTATTGTTGCTAATAACAAACCCACTACACACCTGTAGCGTTCGCAAAGTTAGTCATAAGCTATGGGAAGGTATAAATCTGAAATGGTACAAATCTAACCATGTGGTTTTTTCCCTGTGATTTAACGCTTTTAGAAATTTAACATCGGCCATATGAGTAGCAGTGATTAACTGGTGAACTAAATAGAGGTTAATGTAGGCTATAATGTTATATTGTCCAAGCCTTAAGTTATTTGGTTGTAAAATAACCAGATTTGAGTCAGAGCCTATGGTCCAGAAGCGCAATCACTAACAAACAAACTTTGCACAAACATCCAATTCTACTTATATTGGAAATTAACTGTCGTTTATAGCATAAACATCCCAGCCCCCGCTCTCCTAACCGCTGGCATGTGATAGAGTTAACAAAAAAGATATAATGGGAAACATTTTTCAGATTATCATCAAAAGACCGTCACAACGAACGCCAACTGGAAAGTAAACAATACGGATTTTCTGGGCACCAGAACTGCACAATAATCAATTGAAAATACCACATTCGTGCTAAACAGAACATAACGTATCTTTTCCGAATGCAGACTGTCACTAAAATATTGAGGTAATGATGCTGTCTAACACAAGTCCAGCTTTAAAATTTACCAACTCTTTGCAAAAAACGAAAAAAAATAATGTATATCTTACTGTGATATTACACTTTCTAGAATTGTTAGAAAATATACTATCAGTTTATTTAGGTAACTGAAATAATTTAGTTAAACTTTATTAGAAAAAAATATTGTTGGTTCGAATCAGCTGTACCACTGCAGCAGTTTTGTCCCGTGTAACGTCATATGTTACAAACAGCTGACCTGCTAGTGTTGCAGTTTGGAATCGTGTTTGACGTCACTAATGTTTGCTTCGCGCCATTAATTAGGCCAAGAATATCACACGTTCATGGGATGTAATGGTTCCAGTCAGTTTGGTAATTTTAATAACCTGTTATGTAAAGGGTGCGGTAACTGTGGTAATTAAGATGGCTATCGTCCGTAACAAAACAAATTAATTAAAGACGTTCTACTCTTTGTAATTTGTTTGTTAACACATGCGATGGATCCTAAATCTTGTAATTGTAACAAAGTAATCAGTGAAAGGTTATGCAACAAAATTTAAGCTATTTGTACAATGTGGATTTCGTTTGAGACAACAAAAAACTCAAACTTTACTTTCGTGTAAGATTTTTAATAATGTCAAGGTTATATATATGCATGTTTACATAATGTAAATAAATACTCATACCATTACAAAAATAATATATTTTGCGTAAAATACAAAATACATTATAAATTCATTAATATATAACATTTCTTATTTAGGGAACCACAAATTTAAGAATTAAATACTGATAGTTGTTGTTTGAAGTAGAAACATATTAAATTTGAATTAAAAAAAAAAATTGCTATTTATGGCTTGCATTAAGAAAATTCAGGGGACGAATTTTATGGTATGCATTAATGTATAGCAGTCCCTACTTCTAACTGATGTCTCAGCTCTGACTTATTATTTTTCAAAGAGCTTTTTAACGATTACGCATTTATTAAAATACTGTTTTTTGCTGCAGTATGACAAAAGTAGATTTTTTTTCTAAATAAAACTTTATCTAAGTACACTGTCTATTCTATATAAAATAAATGCCTTTAACAGTTCATTTCCACCAGTTCCAGTTCATCGTGTTGAATGTTAGTTTAATCTAACATGCAAATATTTTGTTTCCCTACTAGTGTTTGTGTGAGCATTTCGTTACTCTTTGTATTGGTAGATTGACTCCCGTGGGTAAGCCTTGATTTGATAATTAATATGATATGCATAGTATTAATGAACATTCATTAAGTGCAGGAAAGATAGCGAACATCACCACTATAACCAGTTGTATGTTAGAAGAGTTAGGTACTGCATGTCCACACTTCAACTAGGTAAGTTAGATTTTCAAAATGCATTTAGTAGTATTAATTCATAGAAATAATATTTACCACCGTATATATCGCATACCGACATATCTTAGTGACCAAATGATTTTTCTCATCCAAGAGATTTTCAGTTGAAAATATCTAAAAAATAAGCGATCTTTTTCTATTTCAAGCTTACTAAAAAATAATAAATAATTGATTACGCCTAACATTTTGCCTGTCAAAATTAAATATGGTGCTATTTATTTAATAGTTTGTAAGCTTCTTGATATTTTATTGTTTTAACTGCATATGCAAACACGAATATATTATAAAATAACGTTTTTCTTAATGCACGAAATAAAAATAAACATTTAATCATTTACCTTGAATGGAATAAAAAAACAATTTGATGGAAGTGTCAAAGTCAGTTAAAACTCTCTTTTATTTAGACATCCATGGTTACTTAACTCTTGTATGTGATACGATTTTTATGACCATTTTTACTACTATAGTTCGGCCGCTTAGAAAACGACCTGCGCGCTAATGCTAAACCAATGCTGGAGGAGGTCGCTTTCTAAGCGGCCGAACTATATTAAAAAATGTACAAAATTCCATTGTCAAAAAAAAGGAAACTGAGGATAATAAATGAATGGATAGTAATTATCGAGAACCTTTGAAGAAAAAACATGATGACTGGTTTTGCCATATTCATGGCTTCACTAAGAGGATATTTATGAGAAATCTAAAGATTTTAAAAATTAAGCCTTCCACGGAATGAAGCCGTATTGCAGAGGCTCATAAAAGAGAGCAAAACCTTGTACACTCACCACGTCACACAAGTGGTAAAATATCTTGCTAGATGGGATAAGATATTTTGTTCACTTGTAGTTTCTTTTTAAAGAGGTTTAGTATTGAATATCCCTTAACTTAGGTGTACTATCAAAATTTAGTCGTTAGAGTGCGGGAAATCGGTTCCAGAGGTCCCGGGTTCAAATCCTGCCAAATCACAAATGGATTTTATCTGTGATAATGCCGCAACCCCTAGGTCTAGCCTGAAGTAATGTGCAAAACAATTCCGGGCTCGTGCCTAGCGTCCTAAGAAAAAAACTATCAAAATTTAGGGATTAAAATAAAAACGATGAGTAGGTACTACTTTTCGAATTTATTTTCCACCATTGTTCTAAATAAAATGATTTGATTAAGTTTTGTTCAATCATAGAGGCCTAGTACAATAAGTTTATAAATTTAAATGTTTGGAATGTTTTTACCTTAACCTCAAATATCCGAAATTATACTCGCAGGCAGTAAACTAGTAACCCTTCACTATTTTCCAGCCATGTTGGCGTTATTGGCTACAACGGCAGCCACTAAGGTGTTGGCCTACTGCGGGGTTCTGACAGTCGGCCTCTGGCTCTGGTTCCAGTGGACCAAGTGGGATCTTCTACAGGAAGCGAGGAAGTTACCTTGTACAGTCAAGACGTTACCGATCGTCGGACATACTCATTTGTTGTTTCGGACTTGGGAAGGTAATACTTTTAGTGTGAAATGATTAGGTTGCATACATACATACATTGGATACATATTAGTTTGCTTGCTTGCAACTCGTTCCTTAAAGCTTGGTTTTCCTAGGCGCGGAGGCGGAGAGCGGAAAACAGATTAACATGGTGTTCCGCTCCGCTTCTAGAAAAACAGTAACATTAAATTAAATTACCTAAGACAAGTGGAGTCCGCTCTCCGCTTTCCACTTCCGCGCCCAGGAAAACCAGGCTTAAAATTTATTAACTATATCAATCATCAAAAGGTAACTCTAGTATCAAAAATAAATCTTTTGCGGAACTCATAATTAGTAATGTTGTCAGCTTAGTGTAATAGAAGTAATAATAATTTTTTTGCCCAATCGTGAGATAAACACTCATGTCAAACGATGGAAAACTAACAAATTAACTTTAACAAATTTCATTTAATTTTATAATACAAAGTATACTAGATGATCTCAAAATGACCTGGTGGAGTGTAAATAATAAATGAAAGTAGAGTAAATAAATACTTACTAGATGCTACATAAAACATATTCTATAATTTAGCTTAACTTTTTTAAAGTTAATACCTATAGTTTAATGAATCATAATATGTAAATTTTTATTTTTCAGCGCCAAGACATATTTTGTTTGCTGATTTCACTATGATTTACAATAATTGTATTGCCACTGATAATACTAAGATTACATTAGAGGGTAATTAAATAATTTTGTTTAAGACACGACAAAACTGGCGTTAGAGAGGTTTTCGAAGGCTGCAGTTTCTACAGGTGTTTACAACATCTGTGCCTGGTGTGGGCCACTTCCCATAGTGATGATACATAAACTAGAAGATATACAGGTAAGATAATCCCAACCATTGACTTTAAGATACTGCATTAGGTATTTTCAATTTTTCAACGAGCTTGCGTATTAGTTACGTGACCAGTTACGCTTTAGTGAGCGTATGCAAATTATAAATGTGTCTCTATAATTTTATAGAAATACTAGCAACTATACTCGTGCCTTGCAACGAGGTCAGTATACAAAAGAGACGATGTTGGTTCTTTGAAAATTCCTTAAAAACGGATGCACTCCTAAAATTTAATTTAGAAACGAAATTGAAATGTATTACTCAACTTGATTATTCTTGATTATTTTATTCTTGTGATTTTTTTCATAAACCTAACCGTTTCAAAGATAATAATGGTTTAAGTTGTGAAATTTTGAATGGTTTTCGAATAAAACAGCTGGCATGCTTGCTTAGGCCTTTATCGAAACTCTTTCTCATGCAGAAATTTCAAAAGTTTAACCATTATTATCTTTGAAACGGTTAGGTTTATGAAAAAAATCACAAGAATAAAATCGTCTTAAAATTACTTTTTCTACTAGAATACATCATAAAATACAGGGTGTTCCCTAAGAAAAATCAAAGTTGGCGGCCATATTGGAAAAATTGCGGCTGAAATAATTTTTTGACTTGACTACAATTTTTTAAATAAAAAATCCAAGGCACTTACCCCTTAACTTTTTTTGATATCTCTTATAGTTTTCGAATAAAACGGCTGGCACACTTATATCAATCACCCTGTATGTGTGTTTTGCTTTTCAGAAAATATTGGTGTCCTGCTTGCCAGAAAAGGGCAATGAGACTGAATACCTCAAATATGCAACTGGAAACGGCCTTATCACGGCTCCATGTAAATATATAACCTCAAATATACTTAGTGTTATCATTGCAATACTAAAAGTTATTTCTTAAAGTTATGCAATAAAACTATTAACCCTTCAAAAAACAAATAAATAAATTGCAAAAGAGCATTTCGAAACTTGACATATTGTGATAAAAGTCTGAAACTAAGAGGTGACTGATGTATTTTAGTTTGAAGCTTTGAAGGGACATAGATTTATCAAATTCCATTGCCATTAACTCTACGCAAATACACGACTAATGTTTTCGTATGTTCCAGATTGTATTTGGAAGGTTACAGGGCGTAATATAGGCCCGTTGTTTCATCCACCCAATATACAACAGCTGATCACTATTTTCAACTCCAACAGCAGACAGTTTGTAACACTGTTGGGCAAACATGAGAGAGGCCATTCTGTAAACGTGCTGGAGCCGTGCATGGGCGTCGCTTTACAAAGTGTATACCGTAAGTGTATTTAATAATTCTCACTTTATACTTTAATCCTTTACTTTGAAATGGTGACCATACGATTGCAGGTATTTTAAGCCAAGTATGAATGGAGATGAATGTAGGAGGTGATCTTGTAGTCTTTTACTGCCTGAAAGGCCGACAATTTCTTAGACACAGCTGGTAATTAATAGCACATAGCCAATGGTAATTATGGGACCTGTAGTTTATAGTGGAATCCAAACCACATTATTGCTTTGTAATTAACGAATTGGTCTAATTATTAGGATAGTACTGCGTATAGTCGTAGTACATACTGCAACAGAAGATAGTTGACAACTGTGATGGTAAACATGTTGTGAGAATACCTCGTAAACATTTATCTTCATCATAATGTGTTACTCAAACCTGATATTAAGGGTTCCTTAATGTTAATAAAACTATCCTACTGACAATAAGTGGTTTAATGTAAAGTGCATTTAAGTCAAACCATGGTATTTATTGGATTGTGAGAAGTACAAATGACACCATATTTGTTATTGAACCGTTAAATTGTGCTACGTTTTATTTCCAAAAGGACAAATGTACCTACCAAAGTAGCGCCACTATTTTGACTTACCATACTGGCTTTTTACCCTAAATGTACATTTACAGGCTCAGTGCTTGCATTTTCCGCACTCAAATATTTTTCATGACATGGTGCATTTTTTACAGAGCTGATATTCGGGACAGACGAGTCAATGAATGAGTCCGAGGTCAAAGAAATGTTGAAAGCTGTACAAGAGTAAGTGATTGGTTTTTATATAAAAGTAAAGATATTGTTAAGTCATCGTTAAATTAGCAAATTTCCTATCGCCTGAAACTCCTAAGCTTCCTTTTGTAAACTTTCTAGAAGCTTTCTAGAAAGATAAACATACAGCTTAGAGATAGCTCCAAACCTCCGAGCTATGGAAGATTTTAAAGCTAAAATAAGTGGGTAACTGACGCGACCAGAAGTCGGGCATCAAAGGTAAAACTCCCACCCTCTAACACCGAAAAGTACTTGCCATCTGACAAAGACACTATAACGCTAGCCGAACGGTATTTAGTATTACTGTACCCATACCGCATACCCATACCGTATACTCAAATATGGCTATGCCGACAAATATTTGTTTGTAACAAGTGTACGTTGTTCATTTCGTTGGGGCGCATCTGCAACCATAGAATATTGAATATTAAATATTGATATGAATATTGGCCCGAAAGTAAGAATATGATTCAACCGATGCACATAATGAATTTTATTTGGTTTCATTATCCTTTAGTTATTATTTCATAAATTTGGTAATATTCGTCACTTTGCTTACTATTGAGTAATGTTAATTCAATACTTAACACGTATAGTGAATAGATTTATATATGGCAATTCTTGGATTTAGAATTTTAAAAACACTGTTATATCCAAAACTTTACATACACAGTACTGTAGTAAGAAGTTTTTGCCATAAAACTAGTAAATGAATGATGTTTCTTGTTCTATTCTTCTGCTGTAGTGAATATATCTAACACGAATTTTATGTGGATCAGTGTTACAGAACTTTTTATGAAAAGAATTGTTAGACCTTGGCTTCGAGTTGATTTCATATTCAAGTTTCTCTACAGAAAGGAATTAAAAAAGATTAATCACGGAATGAGAGCCTTTGTTGAGATACCACTGAAGGTAGGTTTATAATAATTACGTCCGAGTTGTAGTACTACTATTAATAAGTGGTTCTAGTTTTTATGATAGTGAAATCTTAACACTTGATTGTTAGATATTGAGTTTTATTTTTACTTTTAAAATAATACACTTGGCCGAATTTATATTTTTCAAATTTTCACTTCCATCTTTTCATTTTTCACAGTAAGATCACACATTAAAAAAATATAATAATTCCCTATACAACCTTCAGTAAATGTAACTAATATACAGTTTTTTTTTCTAGAGAGCAAGATTCAAATCGAATCAAGCAAGCCATAACCCCACGGACCTCAAGGAGAAAGACGTTTCAGCATTTAAAGGTCAATTTTACCAAAGAGTTTAATTATATGCGCATATGTTTTTAATTACTAGGGATCCCACTGTAGTTTTTGAAATTTCTCCCACTACCATTTTCCTCAATTTTAATTCAACTCACATATGTTTTGTACATACATCAGTCAATTCTACAAAATCACCAATGATATTTGAGTTTTGTACAAATGGATGATGGGACTATCGACTGTTTTGATTCTCTGTTAAGTCTTATAATATTTTCAGGCTGTTTGTCATTGATTGATGTGTATACTGAGCTACAAAAGAAATATCCCCAATTTACGGATGAAGATTTGAAGTACGAAATGGCAACATTTTATGGAACGGTATGTAAAATTTGTAATTACGAACATTAATTCGACATAATGCAGAAGTCCGATTCAAACAAAGGTGTTTGAAAAAAAGTTATTTTATTTTAGGTTTACTTATTGTATAACACATTATTAACACGAGTTTGAAAAAAATATTATCAAATTTTATTACATTTAAGTGAAATAACTCATACTACTCATGTTGTCTTATTTGTTTGTCAAATTGTGGATATAATATAGCGAGAAACACAAATCCCCACAAATGAAAGATCTACTTGAAAGTATACGTAAAAACCCCTCAAAAAGGTTTATACATTCCCATTATAACTCATAACCAAATCCAAGAAAACCCAATCTTCATTGAATTATAAAGATTGCAAGATTTACATTACAGTTTAAAATTAACATAAATAAATTATGAATACCTGTTCATTTTTCACTTTTTTATTTTTACAAAAATATAAATCACTGAAGTACCACGCACTTGCTTGTATCTATTGTGTGCTCAATGTTTTAGAATTGTATTCCTGCAGAGAAGTATTCGTGAGTAAGAAACGTGTTCGAGGACTGTAGATAGTTTGCCCCATATCCCTATGGTATATTACTACTTCCCAGTAGTAAATAACTGAGCAAAAAAATGGTAATAGGTGTCAAAGTTACAGTTCAAAATACGTTGAATCTGAGCTCCCTCACCACCGAAGAAGTAACTTCTCGTGATAACATCCGTGGCAACCCCGGTTTGGAGCTTACTGTTTAATTAAGATCGAGACAATTATTGAAGATCATGCAAACAGCCAACATGAGAATTCCCCAAGGACCTAATTTAACCAAAGTTGTTCTATTCATGCTTGCTTGAGAATTTCTCTATCATATATGATTCTTAATTATTTATTTAGTAATTAATTATCATCATGTTCTTCATAGGGCACTGACACTGTTGGGGTAACGATTGCAACGTGTCTTCAACTTCTTGGAAAGTATCATGAAATACAGGTATATTACTATAGTCCTCATATAGAAGCCACATGATTTTTGTTAACATAACAAATTATTGCGATTTAATATATTTTTAAAATATGTAAACATACTACACATTTAGTACAGTGAATTTAGACCAAATCCTGAGCATCAGAAAAGGTTGCCCTCCTGAAAATTGCTCTTCATATTCAATATACAGTACTGTTCTGCAAGAATTTACACCCTTCGTGGTCTGGTTTGGGAAAAGGAAGGAGAAAAGTAGGAAATTGAGATTTTTTTTTGGATAACGATGTTTTGCACGAAATATTTTGACACCTTTGTGGCTAAGCCCAAAAAAATGTTACATGCAATAATTAAACTTAACTTACTTTTTAACTAAATTGATACTTATTATATTTTTTTCCTAAAGTGAATGACACCAGGGCTACAAAATATTTCACAGGTTTATTTTTTACACTTTTCTTTTTTTCGTTCAATTTCTCGCGGTGAAAAATATTTAGGTACACAAGATTATGTTATTGTGTTTTGTAAATAAAGGTTTAGGTTTTAATGGACAGTGAATGCTAACGTAAAGCCATTGAAGAAATTATACCCTCGTCCCTTTTTTAATAGGTGCTAAGTTTTAATGCTAAGGACATGTTCACATGCCTACTGACTGAGTTTTAGCACAATGGATAGTAAGATTACGATTGCCATGGCAATAACAGTTCTAGCTATAGGTCATTTGACGCTTACTGTACATGAGTTGGAGATAATCTTAGATTACTTACTGGTATGAGTTGTGTCTGTAATTTCAAGCACTTTTTCAATGTAGTTTTTGTCTCGTTTAAGCTTAAGCACCTTTAGCTTATTTTGTATCAATATCCTATAATCGCATGTAATACAATGTATTGTATGTATGTCTATTGTAGTAATTCGTAAGCCTGTTAAGTATAAGTGCAGTTGCATGTACTATTACCTACTAATGGCAAGTGTATTGCATTACGAATGAATATATAATTGTTTGGAGGTTTAAATATAACAGACAACATGAATTTATTACATGAACTATTATATTATCATAAGCTATATTGATGCCATATTATATTATATTATCTCGTACCACAAAAAAATTATAGCCATCCAATTTATCAAGTATGAACTGCTTATTCAAGTTATAGTATTCATAATTTTTAAGCAATACATTGTAAATGGTTGTTAGGTACCGTTGAATAATTAAATAAGACGGACGATCAAAAATTAATAGAATATTGTGTTTTAATAAGAAAATTCTTGACTTTTACATCACTGAAAATGAAGTGACGGAAAACTAACTGGAACCAGTTGACGGGTAGTTGACTGAGGAATTGTGGCTGCAACTGAGACTGGACTTGAAGAAACTGTGACTAGACTGATGGGTGTGAATTGACCCTGTACTTTGTGTGATGACACTTATTTATTTATTTATTTATTTGTAAACGGTTGCACCATTTTTACAGAAAAATACAATTTTTGTTTTACAGAAAGAAGAAAACAAAAATCACAGGCCAGTACAAAAGTAGTGAAAAAAACTGGAAAACAAGACTTCAATAACAAGACATAAAAGATAAATAAAAACTATAAATAACATACTATAAATAACAAACTATCTGAACAAGTTGACGAAACAATAGATTTGAAAAACAAAACCAGTATAGGAAAAATAATGATAGCAATACAGTAAGCCGAGTGAAACTGTAGTAAAAGAGAACAATCTTGATGAAAACAGATAAAGCTTGCAGAAAAATAACAGTATGACACTTCGTGGTAATACATTTATTTGTAGCTTTATAATAAGAATTGCAGTCTGAAATTACTTTTTTAGGATCGTTTGTATGCAGAGATCACTCACACAGTTGGATCCTCTGATGACGTCACTAAAGAACATCTCCAGTCAATGACTTACTTGGACCAAGTATTCAAAGAGACATTGCGATGGGCAACAGTTGTACCATACATCCTCAGAAAAACTACCGAGGCTGTTAAACTAAGTATGAGATTTGACTATTTGGAGCTAGTTTTTAGAAATTGGTCAAATATACTATTTTGAGCCAAACAAGTGAATTTGTATGTGTTATTTTACCATTGGATAGGTCATATGAGAATTATAGTTTAGAAATCAATTAATTATGGTTAACTTGATTGAAAAGCTGTATAGACATGTAGGCTACTATACTTCAAGACTTTTATTTGAGGTAGCAATTTGTTCACCTAGACTTAACACATGTTACATAAATTCTTCTTACCTTTCCACACACACTTGCTAACAAATGTCAATATTGTTCCAGGCGATTGCACTATCCCTGCTGGTAACTCGGTGGTCATTTGTCTGATCGGGCCCTTAAAGGACCCCAATATCTACCCAGACCCTGAACAATTCAACCCGGATCGCTTCTCACCCAACAACTCTTCTTCGCCTAACCGTGACGCATTTATTCCTTTTGGAACAGGAAGAAGAATGTGTATTGGTAAAAACCACTAAGTTTTATAATGAATAGAGTACTATAGGTCAGGTTTCGGAAGAACTGAACTTAAAATAGTGATTTTATGATTAAAACGATTATGTTACCATACATCAGTAAAAAAATAAGGGTTCAAAACCAAATAAAAAATACTATAACTTATAATTGGATGTCTGTGTGTTGTAGGAAAGACCTACTCCGATCACCTAGTCAAGATAATACTTGTCCATATACTGCGGAGGTTCAGGGTGACTACGGATATGGACATTTACAATGTTAAGAAATCTCTGGCTATAACACTAGTCAACACAGAAGGCTACTACGTTAAACTGCATGACAGAAGCTGAAATAAACGAAAATATACTGTACCAGAAGTAATTTTTAAATTAGGTGCCCATTTAATTTGAGTGTTAATAAAATATTTTATTATTTGTTCGTTAACACTGTTTATGTTTATTTTTCGAACAATAATTCTTCATATTGACAAAAACTCTAGAAAAGTGCCACATACAGCTTAATATTGTGGCACTTTGTTTGATTCCGATAGTAAGCGATTTTAAAACAAACGCTCTATAATCTTACTACAAGTAACTTTCTAAAAAATGTTTGAAGCTATCGTTAAATTATACTATTAGAGAAGGCTTTCCCCTTAACCAAGCTACCTATAAAATCAAAATGATGTATAAAGAATGACCTCTTAACGTACGTCTCAGAACTTGACAAATTGCATTTCAATTGCATTAGTTAATATAATTTATAAAATCCAAAACACAGAAATGTGAATAATGATGTGTAGTGAAAATAAGATTTGGTTATGCTACTCATATTATATATACAATTTTCAAGGGTAAAGGACATTATAGAATAAACAGATTTGAACGTCAGCCAATGTCCCTAATGCGACAGTTGTGTGGAGGGTGCATGCATGGCTGGGTTTATTGTTTTGGCGGGATTCCTCCAAACGGTTAGCTCAGACAGATAATGTAAAATACAACCAAGTAGTCTGAGAAATTAATTATATAATATCACCAAATTTTCGGTTGAAAAATGTATTGAAGAAAAAACTCTAAATATGTCATGAAAATTTTATCTATTATGCAAAATTAGCTCGTTTTGCAATTTTTATGCAACTACAAACAACATACTCTTATTATTTAATTCTATTCAAACTGAATTGAATCGCATATCCTACCCTATAGTCTAAAACAAGTGCGTGAACAGACAGACTTTTATTTTCGTCCTAGGGTTTTGAATATTTTTGTTGCTTGTGGAGTATTTGGCCACGAGAACTCGATTGGAGAACGTCACAAGGCTGGGAGAAATCCAGTTTCCGCCCTACAGCACTTGAAAGTGCCCATGTTATCGTCAATACCTTTTTGTAGCTGCAGTTAATAAAAACAGCTGATCAGTTGAAGAAACAAGATCAGTTGTCAATATGTAATGGATCGGTAATAAAAAATATCGATATATCGAAAAAAATCATCGATAATAATGAATGTTCCCTTTAACAGAAAAGTACCGGTAATTTTTATTGCAATCTATGAATTTATACAAGTGTATTATAATGTGTTCTTTGTATAATCTAAAGTTTTTTTCACATTGATTAACATGGATAAAAATGTCCTTAATTAAGCTAAATAACTTATTTAATAATTTTATTGTTTAATAAAATCCGAGCAAAGCTCAGTCTCCTGGTAATTATAATTAAAATAGATGGTTGTATATACAGCTAATCTCCTTATGTACCAGTGTAGAGGTGTGTAGAGACCAGTGCATTTTTCCTCTTCACTTGAATTTGAGCCTTGATAGCACATTAACAATTCAATAATACTGTTAAAAAGATATTTTGATTTTATAATAATCATACAAACTATTACTGGCGTACCAACAGGTTAAGTCCTTTTCCTACTTATTTCAGTATTATTTTACATTATTGGTAGGTTTATATGGCAATTGTAGGTTGAAAAATGATAACGTAGCCTCATAAATATAAAAAAAAATAAGAAAACGGAATATCTGGAGGTATACGACACCCAAGCGGTATTGAAGAAGCTATAAACAGGAAATGGTCGCATTAACCGTCTGACCTACTTCTGAAGGTAGGAGATATCTCAAATTTAAAATTCTTTTTTCATTTAACCTACATCCCTGTACCACTAAACTATAGTGAACTTATAGGAGCCAAGCCAGTGATGGCATGAATCATTTCCAGGTTAAAATTTATAATGTAATTCTTACACGCATTGCATTGCTAACTGTAACTAGTCTAAAACCTATTTTAAAAATGGACAAATAAGAAAAATACCCCCGCCGCAGCAAACCTGCCGACTAAGCGAATTTCCATTTGTCTGAATTGATTTTCAGTTAAATATATTTTAATAACATTAGGTTTAACGAGTACCTAGGTTTGCTGCTACAAGGAAACTAATAAAGTGTGTTTTTGAGTAAAATATTGATAGCTTAGTAGAAAATAAATAAATTTGCCAAGTTTGATCAAAATATATTCATAAACAAGCAAACTACAACATTTGACAATATTCTCCATAAGAATAACATGGGAATTTTCAATTTACAATTTTTTTAATTTTCTCCGTTATTAATAATCGAACAAAAATACTTTCATATACTAAATTATTTGTTTTTTTAAGCTCTTTAAAAAGGTCTAAAGAGAAATTGGGAAATTTTGTGTTTTGAGGGTCAAAAGTGAGAAAAACCAATTTTTACCCCATAAAACCCCCCGTAAAGCCCCGTTCCCATGGTCCGATCATGCTGGTTCGCGAACTCATTCAAGTTTATCCCGCTTTACACCTTGAAACCAAATTTCATCAAAATCGGACAAAAATTACTCAAGTTATCGCGTTCACGGACGTATATATATATATATATATATATATATATATGTCTATATATATATATATACATATATAAAAATTTGAACGAATAGTGTTTTTGGCCTCTGGGGACATCAAAATGAAAAATTAAATCGGTCCCGGCTCTAGGTCTTACCGTGTCACCTACGGTAATAGCTACTTCCCTATAGGGAAATTCGCTAAAAGAGTTTGAAAATGTGAAAAATGACTCTAAAACTTAAGCACATACTCTCCTCCATACTCAAAATGTTTGCCTATTTACTGATTATTTGATGAGGTACAAAGAAAAGGTCTCCCGACCACATTACTAGCAACACAAACACTTTAGTTGGACTAAAAAAGAGTTTTTCATGACGTAAAATTTTATTTTCACGACGTTTATTTTCATGTGTTGCATTTTTTTAAACATTACCATTACCGGTACCACATGACCACATTATTAAATTGTAAGATAATACAGGACCCTCATTATAAACATAACTATTTTCAGGTTGACTAATATACAAGTTTGTCTTACTCTAGAAGATAAAACCTTAAGCATCGTAGCTTTCTCTACTGATTTAGGAGTATTTAATAATTTGCCCTATAAGAAAGAATGTATTGCCGTAGCATGGAAAGACCTAGACCCAGGACCGATTTAGTTTTTAATTTTGATGACCTCAAAGGCAATTTTTTTCAAATGTTTACCTTTAAAACGTGAAAATTCCCAACTTTTATAACAGCCATCATGTCAATTTTGTACATTGAAGCATTTTTGTAAAATTTAAGGTTACGGAGAATTATAATAGTAATAATAGTTATATTGTACTGTACATTTAAAATTGCTATTCTATTCTAAAGGAGAAAAAAGAGTAGGTCTAGATGCTTATTTGTTGATGTATTTTATTAACTTTGGGAATGCTATTTCTTTTATCCTATACTATTATATTTGGATCAAAAAAACTAGTTGTACCTTCCCATAGCAACAAACTTAAGTACTCAACGAATCTTATGATGTTTTTTTCTTGTATTAAATCAGCGAATAAATATGATTTCTTAGTGAAAATATTTTAGTAAAAATCCAATCCGACTAATTGATTTTGCTTAGTCTGCGGTGGGGACATTTAATTTACGTAGTGTGCTCAAACTACGCATTTCAACATTGAAACATCATTTTCAAGCATATTTAATTACCTAATAACAGGTTTACAAGCAGGAGTAGCACTTGAAGGTCGTGAATATTTAATGAAACTGCATGAACTAAGTAAGAGTATCCTGCTTAGTCTAGCTTTACAAAGTCATAACTGTATGAACCTATAATAATGATGCATTTTAGAACAAACCACTCAAAAAGAAAAATAAATTTATGTTTCACATTTCTACCCATTTTATTTTATTCTGTCTATAGCAACATAACGGAAAAACCACATTGCTCAGTATAAAAAGACTACGGCTAAGGGGAATTTTTGTCGCACGAGTAAGACAAATATGTACAAAATAGTTCATGCTAATTATTTCTCGAACATGCTACAAACATAACATAGTAATTTAAATTATGAACGGTAAAATACAAAAAATAAGTTAAAATTGTACACTAAAAACACATCCAGCCCGATGGGAGTGATATAGAAGGAGGTTATTCCCTTGACACCTTAGTTTCGGATATTGGACTTCTTAAATATGTAAAACTTTGTATACGGTTCACTTAGTCCCACTAGACCTACCTTTACATTTTGTATACGTCATTAGAATCTTGCAAATATATTTTTCATTAATCTTGTCTGTTTTCTACGACAGTGTCATATTTGCATTTTGAAAGGGTATTATGTAAGAATACTGGTCTTGTTACCATCGAATGTAGATTTTTTTGTTAGATTGTATTATTACCTCATAACCCAATGACAATTGTCATTTGTGTATGGAAATGATCTTACTTTGAATCCAATTAGTTAAATTTAGATTTCAAGTTGAGCACTATAGCCACTTACCCAGATAGTTAATGTCTGTTTTATTATTATGCTAATTAGGTTTTAGACAAGAGTTATACCTTGTATGAATCTATTAAAATGGTATACTCTTTTGATATACTGGTCAGATATATGCAATTGGGAGTTTTATACACACCAAATTTCACCTTGCATGCAATAAAAAGCTTACTTATTTTGTTCACACAATTTATTTATTTTATACCTTGAATCAAAATTAATTGGAATAGGCCTATCAAACGTATTTACTTACACGTCGTGCGTGTCGTGTTTAATTTAATTATTGTTAAATTAATAACTAAATTATATTCCTGGAATGATGTATTTGACCATGATAGCTCGCCGAAGCATGTAACACTTTGACTAAGGTTACTATTTGGAACTGATAAAAGTTAATGTAAAACCAATTAATATATACTACAGTTGCACAATGAATTGAATCAAAACGTAGGCCTATTTTACACATTTTAAACACAGTGGCAAAATGTGTTCACACTGCTTATGCTTATTTTTTTTCTAAAAGTATATCTTATGTACTAATATTAAATTAGATTGAATTTAAACCCTGCATACAGCAGTCAGGCAGGTGTTAGCCTATGCTTTGTCT